TATTTAAATACTCTTTTATAATATTGTATGATATTTATATTTCTGAATTTATCACATTATGTTCTTAATAATAATACTAATTTGTGTTGTTTCAGTCATTCTTTATTTCATTAAAAAAATAAAACAACTTGTATTTGAATTATAGACTCAACTTAAATTTAAGGCATGACTGAATAACCTAATAATCAACTAATCGTTAGACAATCATTTAACTAACATTATTTAGTTTAAATTTAATTGAATAAACTTATAAAACATACATAACTACGCTGAAATTCAACACCAACAGTTCAAGAATAAAAGTACAAATCTTTTTTTTTCAATCTTGTCTGTTTTAGTGTTGTTGACAATTAGAGAAAAGATTTTATTCAACTGTCTTAGTCTTTTTGAAATAAATAGTTTTGCATAAGTTGAATTTTCATCTTAATAAAAATATGTAAAGTATGATTATACTTTCATATTGTCATGTGTTCTTAGAAATAAACCAATACATAATTTATAAAACAAAACTCCTTGTTTTATTCAACCAAATAAAAAATTATGACTATGAAATTTTGAATCAATTTTTCTATTCCTTTTTATTCTTTATCATTAAATTCAATGATTCTAGATTAAATAAAATACAAAGAATGTATGATAAACACTCTTGTTTATAATTATGATGATGAAACATCAAAATAAAGAATAACATATTTTTTAAAGAAGAATGGTATTAAAAACAAAATAGGGTTGTGAAACAGAAAAGAAAGACAAACTTCAAAAAGAAAAGAAAGGAACTTTTGTTATATAAAGAGAATGTCAAATAGCAACACATCAACTGAACCAGTGATTCATGCAGAAATTGAGAATGAAGAATTTGACAAAGTTGAAGAAAAGATTGAAGAAGAATTAGAACAAGAACATGAAAAGATTGAAGAAGAGAAAATTAAACCAGAAAAAGAAAAGATAATTGAATATGACAATAAAATTGATCCAATAGTTGATAATTATATTAATTCATTAGTAAACACTAAAGCAATGATTCGATCTGATATTGAAACAAGAATGTTAGCAATTATTATGTCATGTAAGGCATGTAATAGTGAAGAAAAAGCAAAGCAAATAATTGAACAAAAACTTGAAGAAAGACCAATGGAATATGATATTGTTTCTAATGTTAAAAGATTAAAGAAAGCATATAATGTAGAGAAAATAGATAATAAGTTATATGGAGGTAGTTTGTTTAAAAAGACATTAGTTCAAGATTCAGCACTTGAACAAAGTGATGCAAAAATGGAAAAAAAGAAGAAAAAGAGAGAAGAAATGGAAGAAAAGAAAAGAAAACAATTATACGAAAATGCTGGATTAGTATCTGCACCAACTATTTCAGTTAATAAAGCTAAAGTTGATAGTAATTGTAAAGATGTTAAACAAGATAATATAAGTATTGCATATGGTAAACATCTTATTCTTGAAGATGCAGATTTAACATTAGCACATGGAAGAAGATATGGACTTATTGGTAGAAATGGATGTGGAAAATCTACATTAATGAGAGTTATTGCTACAAGAAATGTTGCAATTCCTGATAATATGACAATGCAATTTATTGAACAAGAAGTTGATGGAGATGATCGTTCAGTTTACCAAACAGTTTATGAAGCAAATGTTGAATTAGTTCAATTATATGCAGATCTTGCAGAACTTGAAAAAGAACCATTGGTAAATGCTGAAAAGATAACAATGGCATATTCTAGATTAGCTGAATTAGATGCAGATACAGCAGAATCAAGAATTAAATCAATTCTCACAGGTCTTCAATTTACTCAAAAAGATTTTGAAAGACCAACAAAAGAATTTTCAGGAGGATGGAGAATGAGAATTTCTATTGCTAAAGCCATTTATATGCATCCTGATTTATTACTTCTTGATGAACCATCAAATC